CGACGGCAGGGAGCACGTGGAGAGCCGGCGGGTCTCGGGGGAAGTGTGTGTGATCTGCAACCGCTTTAACAAAGTTCTAGGCATTAAGTCAACATTTCTTCTCTAAAACTCCCAAGAGGACAATCTTGGAGGACACGTTCACTCGCTGTCCACGAGGAAGTTTCGCTGAAGGAATTCCGTTCCTCCCGGAACCACTACAAAGGGACCTTCTCCATATTAGTCACTCCCACAGGTGGTTCCACAAATGCCCGGAACACACCTTTCCGCTTTTTCCTTTTGAAAAATGCTGCTCCGTGTTTAAGTGGCTCCTGCCGGTCCCCGTGACGGGGGCTGTGGCGCCACAGGGAAGGGCTGCGTTGGCTGCGGGCTGCCGCTGGGAAGGTGCAGACCTCACCAGCGCCCGGATCAGTGTGGAGAGAACCCGGTGGCCAGACTGCAGCCCACCACAGGCGTCATGTCCCAGATCTGCAAGAAACAAGATGCGGAGAAGGCAGCACTGGTCACCCGGGCTACGCAGGGAGCCAACCTTGAGACAGATGTCAGTTTCACAGCTGAAGAGTGGTACTAAGTATAAGACAGTTACTTTTGGTTTCTGTTGTTAGCAGCCCAGGGACTTAACGAAAAAATGTGTGGTTACTTCGTACAAGCAGGAAGTCCTCTGCGCAGGACGCAAGGAGCATTAACATGCGAACGAGTGATCAGAGCGAGGGGTCAGCTAAGGCCCCTGCCAGCTGGGGAGCTGGAACCCTGGGCTACCTCAGCCGGACAGCGACAGGGGGCTGCCAGGCCCTGACGGACAAGGCAAAGGGAAATGCCACAGCGGTGAACAAGGCCAAGGGGAGGTGAATCACAAGCATGCAGTTTGTTATTCAGAGTTCTCTTTTTTCTTTTTTCCACTCTTTTTGCAGAGAGAAAGGTTTATTAAAGTAAAATGATGCACCAAGTGTTACTCAGGGTTTTCACCTGGTTATACTATAGGATGCTTATGAAGAGGGACGGCAAGCCTGCCAATCAGAGAGACTGGACTCGAAATGTCTTATACCCACTACAGCGAGAAGACGGAGCAATCTACACTGAGATGCTAATTGAGACAATTAAGCAGGTTACCTTTACAACTCGATCGGTCCCACAGGTCACCATCAGTCCCCTAGCAACGTCCATGGACATGTGGGAAATGTTATGTTTTCCTTCATGAAAGGTTGCTAGAGAAGTTCGACTAACAAAGAGAAAAGAGACCATTTAAAACACCTGGCTGTACCTAGAGCTACGACACGTTTCTTAGCAACATATACACAGCTGACCCCTGAACAACACTGGTTTGGATCCACTTTTATGCAAATTTTCTTCATTAAATATGTGCAGTACCGTAAATGTATTTTCTCTTCCTTGCGGTTTTCTTAATGACATTTTTTTCTCTAGCTTACTTAATTGTAAAAATACAGTACATAATACATATGACATACAAAATGCATGCTATGTTATTGGTAAGGCTTCCAGTCAACAGTAGGCTATTAGTAGGTTGTGGGGAAGTCAAAAGTTATACTCGAATTTTTGACTGCACAGGGGCTGGCACCCTTAACCACCCCCCGCCCCCATTGTTCAAAGGTCCCCAAAATGTGGCTACACTTTTGAAAACTAGCTTTATAATTAAAGGATGAAGAAAGCATGACAAGTTGCAAGACTGTTTTATAAAAGATTTAAAAAACTATTTTTTTTTAGTGGAAAGGTCATATGTCCCTAAACATGAAAACAGAAACCTTTAGCAGAGAAGAGGACCTGCACTGTGTGAGATCATGCGGCCTGGGCCCAACATCTATAAGAAGGGGCCAGGCTTTGCCCAAACTTCTCTGGTGTCTAGGGAGCAGCGCTCTCCTACAGCGCTGGCCCTTGCTCTGCTTCAAAGCCCACAGCCTTAGCCTCCATCGCAAGCTCACTGACCAACACCAATGGTGCCCTCCAGCTTTCCAACTCGGGCTTCTGCCTGGGTTTGCCCATCTACTACTTTCAAAAATGATTCAAAGGGAAGGAAAAGAAAATGATGGTTCTGCCCTGATGGATCTGCCTGAGTCAGGACGGAGTGAGGAGCAGACAGATCTGTCTTACGTACAAATAGTTATTTAAGAACATATTGCTAGATCTGATTTTGGTGGAAGAAAAAACGTTGGTCTCTAGAGTTTTCCCAGTAATTAAATTTCCATGCATGTGTGAGCCCAGGTAGGAGCAAGGGATGCTTTTGGAGAGAGCCAGCTCAGCCACTGCATCAGTGTGCACGTGGCCTTGACCCTGCACGGCACCAAGTGGCATGGGCTCAAGACGGTGCACCTGACTGCTGGGCTGGTCCTACCAACATCATTCCTTGCAGTGTTTCAGAGAATTTTGTCTTAAGTCATGAAGTTAGGATGGAATCTTTCTTTAAAAGTCATTTATGAAATTGGGAAGAGACAACAGGACACCTGTGTTGTTTCTCGGGCTCACTCTTCCCATTTCAGATGCACAGTGAGACAGGGATGCGCAAACACTCACTCTTCCTCTTTGATGGAGTCGTAACAGGAATCACACATCCGGACCTGGAACTCGAAGCCCATGATGGGGTAACTTGAGCGCTTGCTGCTGCACTTCCCACAGACGGCCTGCCCGCATTTCCTGCAGTGATGCTTCCGGACCACGGGAAGGAGGAAAAACAGGGGTTTAACTTCGCTTTAATGCACACGGTTTCCCTTTAGAGTAGGGGAGTGGGAGTGGGAGGGCTCGCCTTGAATTATAACCACCCCATTTCAACGCAGCAATCAGCACACAACAGGTAGACAATTTCAACATGTGTCAAGGATTTACAAACAACATCACTTTATTGGTCAAGTACAGCTTTTTGTTCATTCATGTTATCTGTCATGATGTCACAACATTAAAACCAAGTTTAAGTTCAACCGGAAGCCTAAACTAGAGATTTGGGGCAGGAAAAATCTATTCCTATGTCAAAGAAAAATTTTGAAATGAAGTTTTAAATGTAATATACCCTCATTAAGAAACAAATATCCATAACCAAATGTTTTACTCTTTATTTTAGTCTTTCAAACTGTGACGCTGGAAATAAGGTTCAAGAACATTCCAAAGTAGTCCACTTATTATTACTTATTTTAACATATTTTTTGGCCACTAAAAGTTTAGTGGCCTGTACATTTCCTCTCACTCCTATTAACTCATAGGAGAAAAATTCATTTCTTTGTCTTTCCTTTAGAAGTAGGAATGAGTTTGCCCATCAATTACAACCCACTAGTTATCACCAGACATGCACTGTGAGAACTAGCTAATGAGAGAATTCAGGTGCTACTTCAGAGCATTAGCGTGAGTGCTACAATACTCCTGCATCATCTACCAGTCTCATACTAGACCTTGTTGGAGAATAGCTTTGTAAGTAAAATCAAAGAAAGTTTATCAACACACACAAACTTTAGGCCAATCCTTCATAGAGGTATAACCAGTAATCAAAGGAATAAAATCAGCGTTCTTTTTTACTTACCTGCACAAATTCATTTTCAACCTGAGTGCCTACCTTCAAGGCTGCTATAGAAATCTATATTTTTTGTAGAACTTTAGTATTACGTGAATACCTAGTGATAAGAGCATCTTTGAAATCTACAGGCTATTTGGGACATGTTTCTTTAATTTATAAAATAAAAAATAGTACTTGAAACATGCTTAATAAAGATATTCCTGGTGTACTTATATGGTACAATTTATGAATCATCTAAAATTCTTAGTGTCAGAGTATTCCAGGGAGGAATAAATCGTTACTTTCTGTTTGTAAAAGTGCAAGGCTTGTAACTATATGCCCTAATTCATTCTAATTTTGTGCTTAGCTAGTAGAAACACTTTAATAAGTAATAGTCATAAACTGAAAGATCCGTATCTATTTACAGACAGACTCTCGGGTCTTCTACACATCCCAGCTCTCCCAGTGCGGGGTGAGCAACAGGATGGTTAGGTAACAGTCTCCCTGGCCCCAGGGAAGGTCTTGCTGATCATTAGTCACACGATGATAGTGATTTTTTTTTAATGAACAGCAGTTATAGGGAAAAGTGATGTCAAACAAAATGAGAGATTAATTATACCAATAATAAAATACATGATTAACACGGTGTGAGTCACTGCGGGCTACTTACCTGTCGCAACCCCAGTGTCTTCGTGTCCCACATCTGCTTTATATTCCAGAAAAAGGGCTGCTCACATTTCTGACACGAGTCACTTTCTAACCACTGAGGAGCCTGGGAGAAGGGAAGGGCAGAGCCAATATCAGTGCACCTGTACACCTATACTGATGTTTCAGAAATCATCCAGTGGTTATAGACCTTGTTGGGGTTAGCATTTTTTTTTTTAATTCCTCCATATATTATTGCTGTTGCCATATTCAATACTGTTTGTGTTCTGAGTAATCTTTATAATTTTAGTAATGTTTACAGGATCGTTCGAGTTTTAATCAATAGATTAAGAGGCAGTAATTCAATTTTCATTGTGAATTCTTAGAGTTGTCGTTCTATATTTCTTTTTTCTGCTTTAAATCTATATTCAGTTGAGTAAAAACCTATTTCTTACAGAATCTGGTGAACTACTACTTAGGAAATCTTGTGAGGTCACAAGATAACTAACAAGAGAATTCTGGGTGGGCATCATCGTGTCAGACGGATTTGCCACCGCCCATCTCCCAGCCCTTCCCAGTGGGGGCCCACGCAGTTGGCCCACAGACCTCATTCTAGCAGTGAACTCTCTGTACTTTAATTCTTTATGCACATTTCTCCCCCGACCACTAACCTATGGGATTCTTCCCCCCACCCTCCACTAACCTTTCAGTTATTCATTGGTCTTATTCACCTTTATATACATATATAGCCTGTCATACAGTAGGTTCTCAATGAATTTTGGTTGAAACAGGGAAACTGAAGTCTCAAAATTACTTTCTTGAAAACTCAGAAAATATTTCTCTAAATAAGACATTACAAATTGTACTTGATTACAAGATGAACCTGTCAAAAGCCTATTTAACCTCAATCACTTGTTATTATATACTTATTATATATGGAGAATAAAAATAGTAGAAAATACAAATTTCTACAAAATTAAACCAAATGAAGATTATAAAGTAATTAATCTTCTCTTGATCTTGAAAGTTAACACTCAAGAAAACTATATCCGATAAGAGGGGACGATAATAGGAGAATCACAGAAACTGAATTATACTGACCCTTATAAAATATGCGGCGAAGATGGAAAACTTTACAGAGATCCAAAAGGGAACTCTGGTGGTTTAAAGCAGGGGTCGCCATCCTCCGGGCCACAGACCGGGTACCAGTCCGTGGTCTGTAGAAGCTGGCCTGTGTCGCAGACATGAGACTAGGCAGTGGTACCTGCTTTCCTGCCCCCTGCAATTCAACACCCCCATGGAACCAGGAACCAGGCCGCACAGCAGGAGATGAGTGGCGGGCCAGCGAGCGAAGCTGCATCTGCATTCGCAGCCGCTCCCCAGCGCTAGCATCACCGCCTCAGCTCCACCTCAGATCATCAGGCGTTAGGTTCTCGTGGGAGCACCAGTGCCTGGTGCCAAAAAGGTTGGGGAAACACTGATTTAAAGGATGAGTGCCCCCTCATTCTTTGTTTCCTATTGCATCAAAAATTCCTTAGTATTTTAGATGTGTCACTAGAAATGTGTCTACATATGACAGCGATTACAAATGTCTTTCTTTTGAGGGGGACACTCACAAATAAAACGAAATGGGCTGATAGAGAAACGAGGTTTCTTTAAATAACTGGGGCGATGCTGGGAATGAGAAGGGAGGATAGAGAGTGATGGAGATGTGTGCCTACGTGAGGAACAGCGCTGTCTTGATGTGGGATTCTTCCTCATTTCTGTGATCAATGGAAACAGAAGGTGGTTTGGGAACACTGTCCGTGAAAACATCCCTGAGGGATACAGATGACGCGGCAGGCCCTGCTGCTAACAGCATGGGGGTGTTGAATTGCAGGGGGGAGGAAAGCAGGTACCACTGCCTCGTCTCATGTCTGCGACACAGGCCAGCGTAACTTCTACAGTACCACATATACAGGGAAAAGTCACGCGGAACAAAAAAACAGTGTGAAATGTATTGACAACAGCAATATTCGAGCATTAGTACACATCTCATAAGGTTGTGAGGATTAAATGAGTTGACACTGTAAAATGTTTGCATAGTGCCTGGTATACAGCAAGGGTCATAAGTGTCCAGGCAGTGTGCCGAAGGTTTTATAGGCCTATTCCACTTCATTTTCATCACAATCATAGGAGATACAGAGCAACATCATCCCCATTTTACAGGCAAAGAAATAGCTTGGGGACTGAAGCAACTGTCCACGGTGCGTTAGTGGACGGAGACCCAGGAGTCGAGTCAGCGCCTCTACACTTGTCCACTGTACTCCACACAGATTCTGTAAATAGGTCCTAACCATTCCGACACGCAAGGGTCTCTAAACACGGTCCTGCGGAATGACGACCAAGACAACTGTGTCCGCCCTCAGGGAGCGTAATTCCGTCTAGGGGTTTAGCAGAGAATATTACTTTGCTGAGCTGGAGGGCAGAGGGGCACATGGAAGAAATATGCTTAAAAAAGTTGAGATAACAAACGAAAAACCAAAATCAGAAATAAATAGGCTTTTTGGCACACATTTTAATTAAGAAATACCCGTAAGTTTGTTTCTTTTAACAGGATTAAGTGTCATGCTGAAAGTATGATGAATCATCCTGTTATACACCTATTCCTTAGGGAGACTTTTGTTTTGTGCTGAGAAGAGCAAAAGAGAACATTAATCAAGTATTCTGATCCAGGCAAAGATGATGCGGCAAGAATCCACCTGCACTGCGAATCTGCTTAGCACTAATGTATAAAATACCATCTACTCTGCCATCGACCACCTTAAAATAACATTCTCTAATTACTGTTACTTGTTCATTTGGGTTTCATGCGTACAACCCCAAAGAAACCCCTCTACTTATGATCTGGCAGAGAGGCGAACTTGCTGCCCACTTCCGAGTGTGGTGCCCACAGCCACAGCGGGTTGGACATGCCCTAGTCACATCCCCAGGGGACGCAGAAACTGGAGGCAAGCATTGTGGGGCTAGAGGATCTGGGGTTCATCCTCTCTGCCCTTGCCTAAAGAAGTCCTACAAATTGTACAAAACTCTAACTCAGAGTAGTCAAAATCTTATAGATTATAGGCTGCTTACTTTGCACTAATATTTATTCAGCTAATGAAAAAAAAAACCTACTAAATATGATGCATCTTTTTGGCGCAAATTACTTTCCCACCAACGCTAGCAACCATTGAGACAGACAAGCCGGTAGAGCAAAATATGTTCCAGGCCGGTACGCATGTGGTTTGAGGTAATCTTCCAAAAGCGACTAAAAGGAAGAGAACCGCCCACACAGGAAGCACCTTGAATGATAGAACTGTCTTTTCTTTCCCCTCATGTACAAATAAATTCCACAATCGTGTAACCTTGAAGGTAGAGATACTGCTTCTACTTTCTAACTATTTTTTCTAAAAGGACTTACCAAGGATAAGAATAGTGGATTGAAATTCAAGTTGTTAAACCCTTGGAAGAGCCACTAGCAGCCACTGGGCTCCAAAGGTCCCCTCTCTCCTGAGCTCCCCACTCCCTCAGAGTACTGAAACATGACAGGCCAAGAGTCCAGAAAACAGAATGGTCCACTAGCTGTTCCTGACGTATGTAACTAGCAGTTGGTAAATACAAAACAAAGTTCAATAACTCTTTCCAGAGAAAATATGACACATTCTGTACTATTAAGCCACTGTTACACATGTTTAATAACAAATTACTCTAAGGCCTACTAAAAGATTTTAGAAAATTCAAAAAGTAATTAACCAGTGAACACGTAATCAAGATTTTCTCTATTCGACTTATCTGACAAGATCACTAAAAAACTAGCAACCAGAAGTTCTCCATATTATGGAGTGCATTTTATTATTTATAGGGTAGTATAGTTCCTTTACCAGATTACGAGCGTCTTGCAGGCAAGAATATTTGTGTATAGAACATGGTAAATATAAGACTGGAAGTGAGTAATGTCACTACTTTTTAAAAAACAGGTTAAACCCCTTTGATTACATTTTTGTGGTATGCAGGTTTATTCAGCTGGAATCAGACTCACGAGCAATCAGAGGCGACCCGTAGCAGGCATGCAGGGGACAGTGGCAACGGTGCATCTACTGCAATGCTGCACAGCGCGCTGACCTGCACACTGAGCAGACTGTGTGACGTCAGGCAACACAGCATTGCAATGCAATGCAGTATCAATAAGCCGTTTTTGATGTATATTCACTAAGTTTCCAGATTTTATGGTCGCCCTGTAGGTGCTCAATTAATGTTTCTGAAGCTAAACACTAAGTCTTTAATATCGCTCATACTTTCAGATCTTCTCTGGAATCAACTCTTTTGCTATCTACGTCACAGGCTATCAATGCCATTTGGAAAAGAGAGATAACATCATTGCTAGCAAAGACGAGAATGGAAATTCTGACTGGAAATCATCTGATAACATCTATAAAAAGCCTTAAGAGTTGACATACCCTTGGCCCAAAGGGTCTATTTTCAGAAATTTGTCTGAAATAAATAACTGAATAATCACACAATGACAAGGTCAAGAATGTTCACTACGGCATTATTTAAAATAAGGAAAAAGGCAGATTGTTTGGATGATTAGAGTGTTTGTCTAAAGAACTGAAAGGACCTTAGAAGTCATGTCATTCAGCCGTTTCCCTTTGTGGAAGAGGGAACAGAGACTTAGGGAAATTGAGGCACTTGTCTAAACCAGGGCCCACAACTAGTTAGCAGCCCGAATAAGTCAGAGCTCAGATCTCCTGAAAAGAAGACTGTCGACATGGACTCTGAAACAGAACTCCGTGGAAAAGAGAAGAGAGGAAACATATTTTTCCAGAAAACGCCAGGCACCCAGCTACGTCCCCATGCTAGCCACCGGCACGCCTCTCAGTTTGCGTACCAGCTGTGCTGTGGGACCACACGGTGCAGTCCGTTCCCTGGCTGTGCTGGAGGCTGTCTCCAGTGTCCCCTCAGTGTACTTCTCAAGGCTGAAAATCAGCCTAAATGCTAACTTCTTGTCACTGGAGAAACTCAAATGAGCAGAGGACGCAATGCAAAGTGACGCACAGGACTGTCTGTACCGTGGTCAGCGTTTACAGCGGGCAGGGTGGAAGGCCACGCGGCTGCTTGGAGACATCTCCTGGCCAGCCTTGCCTTGCTCTTTCTCTTACCTCCTCTCTGCTAACGTCCATGTTCCACACCGCAATCCCACCGTCCGACGAACAGGAGACGAGCTGCCTCGTGAGTTGAAGGTAACACAGTGACTGCACCCGGTCACTGCAAGCGACACACACAACAGTCACTTGTCTTGGTGGGGAAACCAGCAACCGTCTTCATTTAGGCTCAACTCTCTTTCCTGGTTAGAATCAGCCACTGGCATTTTATCGCTCTTTGGTATGGTAATTTGGATTCTAGCATAAACTACCTGACAGTCTACAACTTACTGTACAGAATAATAGTTTCTAGGAAGTAAACACTACTTTTAAGTCAGTCGTTAAGAGATGTAGTCAGAGATGAGATGATACTAGAGTTTTCTAGACCAATCACCATGATTCCCATTTCAGGTGTACAAGATTTACCTGCCTGTCAGAAACAAGGAACAAAGGAGGCCTAACTCCCTCACCGGCACACAGTCCTAGGAGCGAGTAATCACACACTGCGTAGGCTGCTGGCACACACGCACGCTCACGCCCCTGCCCACGCACACTGGTGGTGGCGGGGGAAGAGATCGGCCCCTCCCTGACGCTCCGCTGGTGCCCGCAATGCAGTCTCCTGACCTGCAGGCTTGTGTGGACAGCCCTTCCTTGGCTGCTTACAGTGACTGAGGACAGCCTAACCAACAAGGAGGAAAGGCTTCCTTTTTCTTTCAAGACTAAGTGGCACGAGCCTAATGTCACAGCTCACGAATATGACTACATCAAATCACACGTTACTTTGCAATGAAACATCTTTGAATTTGAGAAAATGAGTTAGACATCCAGTCCCAGGCTGGCTCAGTAGTGCATGACACGCAATCTTCCGTGGTCAAAGTCCGCACCTGGGGTCCCTGACCCACGTCAGCCTTAAGCAGACGTTTCCATGGGGTGGCTCACTGGGATGGAAACGTGGACGTGCTCCTTGACTACGAAGACCCTGTGCTTTTTTTTCCCTTTCGCTACAGAACACCAGGCACTCAGGACTAACAGAAAAACAGTCAACAGTAGACTCGTCAAATGGCCGTCTCCAAAGTACTAATGTCTCCCTTGCCTCGCCCAAACTCAGATTCTCTCCCACCCCCGTGACCAGTCACGCACTGATGGCCCTGGAGCAAGAGTGTGCGGCCTTTCCTTCCGCCGATGTCCCACATGATGATGCTGTTGTCAGAGGCTCCTGAAAAGAGCAGCCGTTGGATAGGGTCCCACCAGAGGCAGGCGATGCTACCTGGGGGTGAGAGGGAGACAGAGTTGGGGAGTTAACTATAACCGCACATTGGGACACCGACATTTGACAGCTAAGACTGAACTGGCACCGCCTGAGTCTTTCAGTAAAACTGTATCTTTGCTGTACAAAGGCCCATTCAATGCTTTATCACGAGTCACAAAGAAGACACTGCACATTCATGTTCCAGAGTTGTAAGGTTAGGATGTTCAGCTGTATATCAAACTGAATGCAAAGATGTTTAAAGAAATTTTTCCTTGTTTTGTACCATAAAACTATGAACAGCTATACATGAAGGGTTAGTTTAGTAAAAGCTTTTGAAAAAATAGCTGTTAATATTTAATGAGAAAAGGCAGTTAAGATTACTTCAGTCATCTTATATAAGATAAAAATCTAGCTTATTCCAGGTCTCTGGGACCTTGCAGGTGGTTTCACCCCAAGATGATTATGTTTAGGAAAATTAAATTGTGTCTCAAAAAAAAAAAAAATTTGTAGGTGCACCACACAATTATGCCAGAGAGTTTAGGTAAAAATCCAAATCTTACATTTTGTACTCTATATTGGCTAAACTTATCAAATTTGATACCCTTGAGAAATCTTTCTTTCTACAGATTTCTCTTCCAACAAATCTCTTCATTGTTCCATTGACTGTTGCTTGTCTATAAAAAATTATTAATAAACCTAATAAAATTGAACCAGTCACACAAGCTGGTAATATTTTTGGTGGTATATAGAAAATGGATGAAGCCATATTCAAAAGCAAACAACAGAACTGGTCTCTCACAGAAACAACAAAAGTGAATAGAAAAGCATTTTGCAAAACTGGCTTCAGGGATAATTTTGCATGAATCCTGGCCTTGTTTAATCCTGTGGCTCATACAGCTAGAGGCCTAAAGGCAGATAAAATAAACATGGTCTTTCTCTAAGAACTCAACTCAGTGGTTACCAGAACCCACTGTCCTCAGCACCCGGGAGAAGACTGAAGAACCTGGGTCATGAGACTGTTAGTTACAGATGGAAAGTGGTGTCTTCAAAGGCTGTGCTTTCTTGCCCAAATCTATTTTAACTGACTGTTTTTCCTTTTTCTCTTTTTCTCTACAAGGTCCCTGATCTGACAGACTAGATTTCACCTAAACGGATTATCTAGAAAGCATAGAGAGCATTTAACTTGTTAAACTTAAAACATTTTCATAAAAGTCTTTGATTATTTCAGTAAATCCTCAATTCTTCAGTCTAAACCAGATGGCCACCAAGTTTCTCATTTGTTACCCAATACAGCCAGTTGAGTTTTAAAACCCTTCCACAGAGGCTCACCAACTCACTGCCCTGAAGAAACAATGAAATGCCACCTGGTCGTTCTCTTCCCTCAGGCCCTATCCTGGGAGGTTTCTCAAGCTGAGGCTGAACCGAACCAGATGTTTCTCCTAATTGTATTGATCCACCCGGCCTTGTTCAGCACTCTTGAAACTAATCAATTAAAAAAAAAGAAATAAGAACAACAACAACAACAACATTCCTCTGAAGCTCTTACCATCTACAGGAAAATTTAAAGGCCTTCTGAATATAATTTAAATGAAAAAGGTCAACAAATTTGGAAGAAAGCAATCTGGAAGAGATCTTGACAAGACAAAACCCATCCGAACACCCTACCTTCGCTAAGTTTTCACTCTGTTTGAGATCTAAATCCCCCATCTCGCCAATCGAACTGAAATCTGCCAGATCATAAGGAGCTGATCATTCATGAAACCACGGAGCTGAGAACTAAATCTGGATGCCCAAATAGGTGGAAAACCTGTGGGTGATTACACAGCCTACCTTCATGTCCTTTGAGGGTTGTGATGACTGAACAGGTGTTCTGTTCAAGCTTTAGCAGTGTGATCTGTCCAGAATAGTCACCAACGAAAGCATACTGGGTATCAAAATCGTATCTGTGGAGAAGCAGTCAAGGATCTAAATCCATCTCAAAGTAGAAAATGTGTACTTTAACCCGTTTCCCGTTTGCCCTGAGAACATTTGCCAGCAATGCTTGCGGCTGCAGCGTTTACCCCGAGATAACTCGTGGATTATAGTCCCAACATCACCCCCAAAGTCTGCCATGAAATATCTGGCTTTTATTATTACTTTCGAATCACTGTAGTATATCAATAGTTTTTGGAAACAAATGACATCATTCCATTTACATCATTCTGTTTTTAGTAGTAGTATCCCCATTGACAAAATATAGTCATTCTCGATCACTGAAAATGTCAAATCCTAGGAAACGCAGCATTCATGCGCGTGATGTTAACATTGTTCTGGAACAGTTGTTAGCTAAAGAGTCATTTAAATCCGATTTATGTACATATTTCTGTTACATTAGGATTAGAGACAAGTTCTGTTTAGAAATAACTCCTAGAAGAGTTATTTATGTTTTATTTTCACATTGAAAACTAGATTTATTTCAGCCTCAAAGAGCATGTTTATGTAAAATTAAATTAACACTGGCGGCGAGCCATACTTTTTCTAAACAGGAAATAAGTTAAAGAGAATACGTGTAAACCTAAAACTGTGGAAAGGAAACTCCTAACTGAAAACTATGTAATATATAAATATTGAAGAAAAATTGTAAGCTGGAATTATTGGAAAAATTAGTATTCATTTGTTCAACAAGAATTCATTGAGTACTTGTTACTATCCTAGAACTTGGCAATAAAAAAGATAAAAGCTGATAGAAAAGACATGAGAACAAGCAGTTATAATCAAATAATAATAAAGTGCAAAAAAGTAAAATAATAATGAAAAAAGCAAGAAAAAACAGAAAATGATTATTTATGAAATATATCTAGAAATAATATAAAACCGACAGCACATATGGACATGAACCCATCTTTCTTTTGGCTTAGATGATTCAGCGTGAAGTAAAAAGGATGGTTTACTTTAAATTGCTGTGAAAAGTTTCACTTTAATCATCCAAAAGACTCTTATTTGGGGCAGTAGTAAATTTCAATTTTAAAAATATATGAACTATTGCTAACAACTTATTACTTTCTCAGTCACTTGATGACCAGAGAAATTTGTGGCAAATCAGAATAGCATAGCCACTATTTTAATTCAAAAACACAGGTCCGAGCGAACACCGCAGGCTGGGCCACGACAACTGTGATTCTTCTGTGCCATCTTCTCCTGATCTATATGAAAAGCCTAATACCTAACAGAAACAGTTCTTCAGCACATGATACATCTGAGTATTTTCCCTTGTTTTATTCTACAGTGTATGGTACAATTTAAATGCTTATTTTATGTATCTTATGTTGTGCATTCATTTGTAGTAAGCATCTGTTATAAAGGCTTTCAATGGAAAAAAATTTTTACTACAGCAGATGCCCAATTCTAAAAGAGAAACCACTGCGGGGTATTTGCCTGTTGCTGACAGCCTTGATCTTGCCTTCATTAAGATACACAGCCACCACAGATAGACTTAAGCAAGGGTGAGCTCTATATGAAACAAATTCTATTTAGTAGTAGAAAGTTTTTAAAGCAGCAATTTCTTAACATTTGGGGGGATGCTGAGGCATCTCTGAGAGTATTATAAGGTTTATGAACCCTCCCCACATACAAAAAGCTATAAAACTCATTGTAGCCCAGTTATAAACTCCAGGGTAATAACCCTTATTATATTCTTTTGCAGTGTCTGCTAATAACCAATTACTAGAAGATCAATTACTTTTTATTTCTTTTTTTATACAAAGAGTCTTTTCTTTCACTTTGAAATGTAATGACAGAAGGTTGCATTAATAAAGTTTAGGTTTTCCAAGATTTTGTATTAAAAATGTCATTTAATAATTATTTTCAATAAATCAATTCTATATCAAGAAAAGTAGATACAGAAATTCTTGGATTTTATGTGAAATATACAAGAATCATTCAGTCTTTGAATCTCAATTAACAATTTATGATCAGATTCAAAACTAACTATAGGGACAAGGAGGCCCAGGGCAGGCGAAGGGCCAGCCCTTGGAAGGATACTGTAAACACGAAGCCCAGGACGTGAAGAAGTGCCTCCCGAGCAGGTCCCCGTTCCGGGTGCACATCCAGCTGACACACTTGTCATGGCCGGTGCTGACCATCCACTCTGTGGCCAAGCTAAAGATAATCGCAGACACCCGGTTCTGATGCGCTGTAGGAACAGAAAGGAAAAGTCTGCAGCCTTCAGGAAGAAACGTGACCTTCAGAATCAGGTCCCGTGGGGTGAGAACTGAGGCTGAGCTTCTCAACTTGGGTGGCCTGGAGACACACGGTCTGCACAGCCCTATCGTGGAAATGCCTGCCTCTGTGAACAGTTTCAGATAATCCGCCCTACCCCAACTAGGGAACATTACTTTGCTCTTAGAAAATCCTTCACCACCAATGACTTCCATATAGAAAGTCGCAGTCTCTTCTTAAAACAGCAAATTTTTATTGTTTATAACTTTAGTGTTTTGACCCTTTAGAAAATACTGGCATTGTAAACAAGAGCACTTACAATTTTCTGAAATTAAAAAATAGTGTAAGTATTTTGTTTCTGGAATAATTTGTGTGTAACTTTTTATTATTTATAAAGACAAAATATTAGTAAAGTTCTGTATTCCAAAATAATAGCTGACAATGAGAAAAGTATTCTATCTATGACCTAAATTGTGGAATATCTGTGTTTCCAGGTCAACTATAAGGCACACTGGGGCAGTGATCTGTCTACATCTGGTACAGGTCCTTGCATGCAAGCTGAAATAAATGCCTGGTCTGATGAATGAAGTCAGAGGCTAGAGAGAGAAGCCTCCGACCTTGCTCTCAGCTATACAGGCAGCTTCAGAAAAATTAAGGAACTCTTTCTTATAAATTAACCATTAAGACATTACAACTACCTGGGTATATGAGCAAATTCATGAACAGACACTCATCAAAGATGACAAAGGGTTAACGTTAAATAAAGCTTAAATCATTTTTAGCTTGAGAACTGTTATGACTATCAAACTGGCAAAAAATCCCACAAAGACCACTATTGTCAAGACTCAAAGAGCAGGTACTCTCAACCACTACTCATAGAGTTGTAAAATTTATACTATTGTGGGAAGGTGTTTGCAAAATACATCTAGAGCATTAAAAAACTTTTTAACATTTAACCCAGTTACTCCACTTTTATGACTCTGTCTTAAATAGATGTAGAGTCAGAGTAATAGTCAAGACACACACACGTATAAACATATATATGAAATACACATACATATATACAGGCACACACACACATACATATACACTGTGTTTTTGTGTGTGCTATCAAAAACTGGGAACAGTACACATGTTCAAAAATAGAAGAATGGTGAAGTGTGATAGATGCACCCAATGAAACAGTATACAAAATTTTAAATGTTAATAAGCGGGAAAAAGATGGTAAATAACTCCAAAGAGGTCAGAGCCCCTCATATAACTGGGGTAACAAAACTAAAAAGTTAATTTGAACCTAATTTTTCATAAGAGGAGACGTGCTAGTTTTATGTATGCAGATCTATGTATATATCTGCAAGTGAGTGAGTATTGTAATTACCTGGGTAGGTCTTGATAAAGTTCATTTTATTAAAATCTTCAGAAACATGAAATTCCTAAAAGTAAACATATGCAACAAGAAAAACAATTATGGTTTTAAAAATCACAGGAACTTAACTTTCAAAACAAAGTAAAATACAAAAGTTGCTATCACCAGACTCGGGACTCCAGATTAACTATACAACAACAATAATGTGGGATTGTTTCTTTCATCAGACCTGTCCTCGGGCCACCTTTTCCTTTGGGGACCAGAGAGCATTAAGGAAGCTCGGCATTTCTGTCCAGTTCTTCCTCCACAAGCGAGCACTTTGAATCCCCTCTCCTTCTAACTGCAAAGGAGGCATCTTGTTAATTTTTCTCTCTTGGCTACACCAAAAATTCCTCAAGATGACATATATAAAGCACAATTAGAAAGACCCATTACTAACAGAGTTCTCAGCTACAGTGAAACATAGGGCATGTCAGTAATGTAAGGGGAGAATCATACATATTTAATATACAAACTCACAAAAAAGGCAAATGAAGAGACCGTGGGTTGTTTTCTTTTATACGCTTGTATTTTCCAATTTTTTATAGACTGTGCAATACTTTATAACTAGGAAAAATTAAAAGTATATACTTCTTAATGAAAAAATGAAATTCAACATAAAACCATTGTTCTCCATCTTGGTTTTGCAAAGTATAAAAACGTATTAGCATTTTAGAGATACTAATCTTTACTGAGAGGAAGATCGATAGATCAATTGCTAACTAATGATAACTTGGATTTACATTGCTCCTTTCCACTGAGGAGCTATAAGAGTTTTGTATGCCATCCTAGAACATATACCCTTGAACCAGGAGCCTCAAGAAGGGTCCCTAGAAAAATAAATGCACAACCACTGCCGCCACTGGAGAGGCTTGCACTTTGTGGCTTCTTGTTATTTTTGTGCGTACATGTTACCATGATATTCCTATAAAATTTACAGGAAAATGAAAAGGAGAATGTTGGCATTTCCTGCTACATAATGTATTTATTTACAGCAGCCCCAAGCTGACAAGGCATGGAGCTCATCAACCCCCGGCCCTGCAGCCCCCAGTCCTCACCTCCTGCCTACTGCTGCATGAACTGCCTGGGCAGAAAGCCTGTCTTTTGTACTGGCTCTTTGTTTCATGGCCCAGAAAGGCACAAACAATAAACACGGAAAATATATAACAAGTAAAGAAATTAAATTTGTACTCAAAAAACTTTCCAAGGTGAGAAACCCAGGACTAGATGGTTTCAGTGGTGAATTCTCCCAGGCTGCAAGTCTGAATCTCTTACAACTCCAAATTAAAAAAAATTAAAATAAAATAAAAAATAAAAAAAGCTTAAGTGGGCGAAGAACTTGAATAGATATTTCTCCAAAGAAAATATACAAATGACCAATAAGCACATAAGATGCTCAACATAACTAGTCATTAGGGAAAGGCAAATCAAAACCATAATGAAATACCATTTCGTGCCTACTAGGATGGCCTAATTAAAAAAAAAAAAAACCAACAGAAAATAACAAGTGTTGGCAATGATGCAGAGTCACTGCATCCCTTACGCATTGCTGGTGGGAACGTACGATGATGGTATAGCCACTTTGGAGAACAGTTTGGTGGTTCCTCAGTAAGTTCAATACAGACTTACCGTATTCCATTGGCAGTTATATATGCCCAATAGAATTAAAAACTTTGGTTCACACACAAACTTGCACATAAATGTTCATAGCAACATTTTATAGGAATATCATGGTGATGTGCATGCACAAATATAACCAGAAGCCACAAACTGCAAGCTTCAAATAGCTTCTCCAGTGATGGCAGCGGTTGTGCATTTATTTTTCCAGGGACCCTTCTTGTGGCTCTTGGTTCAACGGTATATATAGGTTCTAGGATGGCATATAAAAACTCTTATAGATCTGCAGTGGAAAGGGACATAATAGCCAAAAAGGGATATAATAGCCAAAAAGTGGCAACAACCTAAATGTCCATCAACTGGTGAATGAATAAAGTATTTTTACATTAAAAAAAACAAAAAGGAATGAAGTACTAATTCAAACTACAATACAGATGAACTTTAAAACATTAAGAAGTCAGACATAAAAGTTAATGCATATCATATAATTCTACTTACATAAAATATCTAAATAGGCAAATCTCTGGCTCAAAAAGATTGCCAGGAGCTGGGGAAAGGGAGAATGGGGAGCGACTACTAATGGGTTTGGGGTTTCTTTGGGGGAGGGGGTGTGATGAAATGTTCTGGAATTAGAGAGTTAATGGTTGCATAATCTTGGGAATATACTAATCTTGGGAAAATCACTGAATTCCATACTTTAAAATGAATTCTATCTCAATTCTCATTCTCATTTTCTCTCTCTCTCTCTCTCTCTCTCTCTCTCTCTCTCTCTCTCTCTCTCTCTCTCTCAGAAATGGGGGCTGCTACAGTCTCACATTCACTGTATGGAGACTGTGTTTGGTGGGCTAGCCTGAGCATTCAACCATCAACTATGACAGCACTGAGTTCCACAGAAATAGTTTAAAATTAAGCACTGATTTAAATTAGCCCATTTTAAGGTCTAATACCTATACTGAGTTCAACATTTCTTATGCCCATCGGGCATTCATTAGTAACTTTATTTAAACTGTCCACAGGGATGAACATGGAGGTCAATATAAGGAGTACACTGTCAACATAAAGAATAGGTTCTGGAAGCTACCTACCATTACGGCTCCATCATCCTGGCCCACAAACACACGCCTGCTGTCGTGGTGGTAAGCCATGGCGGAGCAAGGAGCTGTCGAAGACAAAGACCACGTTACCAGCCAAGTTAAGCAGCCTGTCACTGTTCGAAGTATGTTACTAAAAACACCTACACAAGTTAGGTTAAAAAAGGGTGGGGGTGGGGGGAATGTTTTATAAAAAAATAATGATGTGAATTGAAAACGTTATTAAAGTTCTTTCTGTTGTTTTAAGTTCTCATATAAAGTTATTTTTAAAGCTATGGATAAAGTGATCCAGCATAAAGTTTCATCCGACTTAAACTCCTACCTGTTTCTGGAAAGGCCTGGGCACCTAAGCTTACGGTAGGTGATTTGCACCCCAAACTCAGCAAGTCATCCTGCCCCTGCCCGTCCTTCTCTATCACAGGTAAAAGAGAAGCTGGGATCTGAGGAAAGAGGAGTTCCCAGCACCAAAATTCCTATTCCAAGGTATGTGTGAGCAAGCTGGGAAAGCCACTTTGGAATTACTTTTTTCCCCAATGTCCAAAAAACTGTTCCCTTCTCCAATGACACAGACAACACCGGTTTACAGTAAGTGGAGTTGTGAGGTAGAGACTTGTTTTTTTGTCCACAGTGGGTTCTACCTATCCTTCCAGAAAGCTCGGGCCAGAGAATGACTTTCAGAAAGGAGAACCTGCAAATCGTCTCCCTCTGCTACAGATGAGAAAGTGATTTAGAAAATGGAACATTTGAAAAAAGAATTGTTTGGGTTCATTTCAGTCTAAAGAATTTTAATTGACTATGGAAGAACCACAACAAGGAACTGTATGCCAGGAAACAAACAAACTTGATTTTACTTTGAAATAAAACTGCTCAAAAAAAGTAAAAGAGAAAAATCTTTTTTAATTATTTTTTTTATTTTTTAAAGGTGTGATTTTATTTCAAGTCAGAAAATCAATATAATTGAAAAAAGTTATTTTTAGATTTTTTTTTAAATTAAAATTATTGGAGTGACACTAGTTAATAAGATCTACAATACGTTGTACATATACTGCATTGTGTGTTCACCAGTTAAATTTCCTTCTGTCACCAAATATTTGACCCCCTTTATCCCTGTCTTCCTCCCTCTTCTCCGCAAAATAAAAAACCCTTATACATGAAGTTACCGTTTAAAAATTGTTTAAAGGTCTCTCTCTACAATAGGCTGATATTCTCTACCAAAAGAAGAAAATAAACTATAATACTAGATTGTACCCAAATCAAAAACACAGCTAACTGCATGATCAGACCACAGAAAGAGACTGAGATGCATTCAAAGAAGGTAGGTACCGCAATTGTCTGTATACAAAACAATAAGAATTGACAAGAAGCCTATACACCTTTACCCACCTTATCGGTGCTGGAGACTGTAAAGAATGATCGTGTTTAAGAATTATAACCACAAAGATATACAAATCTTCATACGAACTAAGTGGAAACTGCCCTTTAATAACCTTGCATAAAATTATCTGACAAATCAAATCATGCTTGGGTGATTTCAAAGATTCATTGTAATTATGTTTGTTTACTTTTTAGTTGGTACTAAATCTTAATGCTTTAGGGTTCTCTTCAATTCTTTTTAAGCCTAACTCTTAATCTAACTATACATAAGTATGTCAGATCTTTCTTCTGTGTAAAAGCTACAATGTGCTGAGTAATTTTATGACGCTAAAGAATTCTTACAGTTAAAAAAAAGAAAGCTTCTCCAGTTTATTTATTTTGTATGTAAAGATGTCCTGTCTTTTTTTCCTAGAATGGAAGTTTCTAGTGAGATGAGCTATATAATTAAAAAAAAAAAAAAAGTGTGGATATTCACATAATTTGATAAACAAACAAAATACAAATTAGTGGCCTTTTAAAAAGGCATCACTCTGTCCGAAAGTATATACTTAAACTCTAGTTTTGTAAATAAAGGTTTTGTTTTTTTGCTTTTGTGTTAAACAGCCAGGCTCTTTCTTTTATGCATTGTTTATGGTTGCTTTCATGATACAGGGCAGAAAGTTGAATAGTTGCTACAGAGATCATATGGCCCACAAAGTCTAAATATTTACTGTCTGGCCCTTTGCAGAAAAAGTTCATGGACCCACCTGACTGCATAGCTTTGAGTCAGAGAGGCATGGATTAGAATTTCAGCCACAAGCAGTGGACTTAACCCCTCTGGTCTCAGTTTCCCCATCAATGAAATGGTGAAAGTATTATCTACCTTGCATATCTGTTGTGATGATTTCATATAATGATATTTCAAAAAAAATGCACGAGGCACATAGATATAGAAACTAAGAGTTTCCATTTTTCTTCAGCTAAAGCAGATTCAGAAAATTGTTTTTGTGAGGTAACGTTATGAAACATATAGCAATCAATACACTAAGGTTTGGCTCCTTGCTCACTCGGTCAGGTCTCAGGAAAAAGTTTACATTGGTGGATGACCACTAAAATATCCTAAATTGAGAAATCTACAGAGTTTTTGGAACCAACATGGCACTTTTCTTCTCATATTTTGAATTTCATTTTAAAATAAAAGCCATCGTAAAACAGACAGTTATTTCTCATCATTCATTCATTCATTCATTCATTCTTCTTCTGGCAATGTTTCTGCAGTTTCATCAGTATATTCCGCTCCAGATGAATGCGATAAAGAAGCTTCTGGAAGCAACAAGTTGAATTGTGTTAAGTACAAACATGAGGGCGTCTGCCACCAATAGCAGAGTCACTGTGCCCGTTCTTTCCAGTTTTTACCAGTCTTTCCAGCCACCGCATTCTGGGAGCTACTTCCAGAGGGTACATTAAACCAAGCTGGCGAAGGATGGCGACAGAGAGAGCCAAAGGCGCATACCCAAGGCCCAAGTGCCAAGGAAGGGTGCCCACTTCTACTGCGAGGGTTTGGTGCCCTGCGACAAAAATCAATTACAAAGCTCTACTAAATATCTGAGGAAAATACAAGCCAAGGAACAACTGAACTAAATGTAGAACAAAATCCATATCCATCTCTCTCTCTATTCTAATGAGTATAAACGCCAAGGTGAGGACTCAAGGAGATTAAGCTATGGCCAAAATGTGAAGTATGGGGGAAGTGAGGGATGGGAGGAAAAGAGCAATAGCTTTGTGGAGACGGTCCACAAAGATGACGAAGCATTCCCCAGCACAGGCATGAGCTGCTCAGGCTTTGCTACTTCCAGCTATGAGACTGATCACCAGGCCACTGGAAGTAAGGAGTTATTAGTCTAAGAGAAGCTTTTTTGTTTTTGGGTCGGGTAAAGGGTGGGCTCAGAGGCCCAAGATGTCCCACCCACTCCCCCACCCCTCCAAAAAAAAAGAAAAATCCCAAAGTAATTTCATCAAATGGGCTGCACGAGCACCTTTTTAAAGATATCAGTCGCCTTGCGTTTTAGAGGTCGGTCCTGCATCCACAGCACATGGATGACAGGAGACACTGCTGCTCGGCATGATAAGTTATGATTAGGTTCTCAAGCAGTCTTCTAATGGGCTCCAGATTTTAAAGTTTTATGGTTCCTCTTATAATAGTAATATTTACACCAGTAGTCTAAAAAGTCTACTTCATTTTCATTGATTATCAAGATAGACCAGTCTGCCCAAGCTGTCAGTGGAAGGTAGAACAAATAAAAATTCTGATAAACCGCTAATTTTTAAAACTAATGACAGGATCTGAACCGTGCACGTACACTGGAATAAGTGTGCAAATGAGAAAGTGCTAGCCAAGAAAGGAGGTGCCTGGAAGGAGGACTCAAACTCATGATATGGAATTGGCTGAATGAGTGGCTGTGCTGTGTTTATAACAAACTCCACTGTCTCTGGAAGAACTCGTAGGAAAGCTGACAGTGTCATCAGGGTCTAGAACAACTGGCAAGAGGTCTTCTTTGGAGAATTTCATAATGGTCTTCAGAAGTAAAACCATGAAGGATGCCCCAAAGCTTCTTCTCTTTTCCCAGGGGGCCTCTGAACACTGGAACCCTTAACTGAGGAAGATCCCTCATTAAGGACCAAACCACAAAGAAATTAGCAGCTCTGGACGCTTCTGTGTAGCCACTGGAGACAGAAGGATTCTACCCCTACCTGAGCCTAGGTGGTAATCAGGCATCCTCCGCAGGGCTATCTTTTCAAGAAAGATTAAGAAAAGAAGGGAGAGAGAAGGATGGGGATGCTGCTTAGATTCTGCATGAAGGGGTAGAATTTAAATGTGATTTTATGTCACTACAGCTCAAGGCTGTTTTAAAATCTCAATGCAAAAAGCTCCATCTTCTACTAGATTGATTTTCAGAACAGATTTAACTACTGAGAAAATTCTCTATTTAGAATGTGCCGTACCTTGGACCAACTCTCTCAATAGTACCCCAAGGTCTGTGAAAAGGGTGGGCAAAAGGCCGGTTATGAGGGTGTTAAGTGGACAGAACCCTGTGTCGGTGTCAGTCCCAGCTATTACTAGGCACGAAGTCACTACCGAAGTAAGTTGGCAAACCGGAGGAAATCCAGGGGTGGGGGCATGCCCTTTTCCTTTTTTCCTTTCAGTTTTGTTCAAGCTGGCTTCAGTTAAACCAGTAGACACAACTGTCTTTGCAAAAGAAAAGTTTTCCTGCAGTTTGTCACAGCCTGTCAGAGCTATTAGGCAACTAAGACACTCGTTTTGAAATCTAGTAGCACTTTTTAATCAGGCAGCTTGAATTTTAAACCATCGAAGACATTACAGACATTTTTCTCAAGTTTTATAGTTCAGCTACGTACAGGCCATCGTGTGGTAAATGCTGGGCCAATACTGGCCACTGTCTCTTTTCAGCCATACTCGGATGGTTCTGTGGAGAAAGAAAAGAAAAAAAGAGTAGTTAATTTTATCTTTTCTTTTGTGCTCCTGTAAAATGTAATTGTTTATTTTATTTTCAATACTATTTCCCAACTGACCTTGTAATCAATTAGGCAAATGGGACAAATACATGTACATGGGACATGGGACAAATACATGGGACAAATATTCATACCGTATATAGTATATTTATATATAGTACATATACTATAAATATATATACACACTTATTACATATAGTATCACCATATATGCTAAGTTATGCAGTAGCTAGGAATCAGGATTTCAAATCATTTTAACAATACAGAAAATGCTCATTATATAATGATACACATACAAAGAAAACCGAGAACTATTAACTGCTTTTCTTGGTAAGACAAATTGAACTTGGTTGCTTGACATGTGAGCCGCATGAAGAGCAGCAGACAGAAACGGACTGACACCCGGGAGGTGTGATACACTCGGCGTCCACGCCCCTGCTCATCCAGCAAAACTTCCCAGTCTCCGCACCCCTGGGAGGAAACATTCCCCACCGGTCTCTGGGCCTCTGCTTTCATCAGCACACACACAGGGAGAGGACAAAATCTGCTACACAGGCAAGAAAAGGACACATCACTAAAACAGCCAAAATTTAACATTTTGGCTTATCGCCTCGGAAGAATAAGAAAGAAGACTGTGACCCCTCTCTCCTGTTCTCAGAACCTCCTCGAGACCCTGGGCCTCTTCCCCTTCAGAATCCCCAGGACGCTCGCTGCCTCTCACGGCGTGGCCCAGCTCTGCCTCTGCGATGACTCCTAACGAACTTATTGTCCCTTATTGTCAGCTGTTAACATTCATTCCTGTTTTTCTAACAGCAACAGAGATTCCAGCACACAGCCAGCACTAAATTACTGTTTACAACCTTGGACTAAAACATATTAAGACGAAATGCTGACACTGTATGTTTCCATTCTGACTGAAGTTCAAGACGAGTAAGACTGATCTATGAGGATAAAATCAGACTATTAATCACCGCTAGGGGAGGACAGAATGCAAAGCAAGATGAGGGAACTTTCTAGGGTAATGGCAAAGCTCTGGGGAGTTGGTTACGTGGGTGTATGCATTTGTCAGAACTTGCCCGACTATACTTAAGATCCGCACAGATTACTGTAAATGATTAAATTGCAATAAAAGAAAACAAAGACTAGATGTTGACCTTCGTTCATTCAAATAAATAAATAAGATGACCCAGCAGCACAGTGGGTGTGATGCCATTCTGCATGTGAACTGGATACAGGCCTTACTGTAAGAGCAGCCATTTGTACAACATGCCCTGTCTTCTGGCCACCGCTTCTGATCGTAATGGAATCTTTGCCAAGCTGAGCCACTCAGAATTTTTCTTCACATCCCATTCTTGATCACAACTGGCTAGACCAGAAATGGCATCTGATCCTAGGTGGATAAATCAGTTCCTTCCCTGGGAAACTGGAAACCAGGAGCGAGAGAAAAACAGATGAGTATATCTCCAGTAGTTGAAATGGTTGTTTCCGGTCACATGTATTACAATTGGGAATGGAGAATATTCTACGCCAAAAAAAAAAAAGAGAGAGAAAGAATGAAGCAACGTATGGAGAAGCCGAAATGAGCTGAAGCCAGTCCAGGAAGAGTGCTTCGTGACAGTGGCTCATGACGCTGAGCTATTTCCCAAGACTTGGGTTCTGTGAGGCAGACACCCCAGCGTCCTTACCATAAACACCCTCGGCAGCTTAAGCCAGCCTGCGTTATCTCTGTTGTTGGCAATAAGCAGGGACTAATATACTATGTCTTCATGAGACACCAAGAGGAATCCCAAACACAGCCTCTTCGTTCAAACACCATAACTGCTTAAGCTCCTACATGGCAAGGTTCACAAGGCAAGAAATCAGGCAGACTTTTGTTTGTTTGCTTGTTTTTTGAGGTATTTATATTGTCACAGGTAGTTCTAGAAAGTAGTAGTTCAAATCCAAAATTAAAAGAGAAGAAGATCAGACTATAAAGCATGTATAACCAGATATATGATTTTTACAGTTTGTAATCTGACATCTTAAACCAAAATTTAAAACTCTTTGAGATAATGTGTAAACACTATTATTATTTGTGGGTTCTTGGTTACTGTTCCTAATTACTTGGCTTTCTACTCTCACAAACCTCAGAAGTTACAACTTTTCTTGATATGGCTCTTTCTAGTTTGAAACTATTTAAATCGAGTTGTAAAAAATATTTAATGGCATGGAGAAATGTTTACAATATGATGTTAAGTGAAAGCCCTGTAGAAGACTGATAAGTGCAGTATAATACCAATTTCATTTTAAAATATAATCTGATCAAACCTCTAGATCCAACTACCAATTTATAGGAAACACAGAGGAACACAATAAACATCACCACGGGTGCATTCAGCAAAACTCAAGTTTGCAAGAAAGTCTATAGACAAATGACCCAGTTTTTTTCTACAAATAAATTTACAAGGGGTAAAAAAAATAGAGATGGAGAACCAGCTGATGATTAAAGAGGTTCAAGAGACGTTATCAAGTAATCACAATGCATAATTTATTTGGATGCTGATTCAAACTGTTGAATACACGTATATCATTATGAAACAATTGAAAATATGAACACTGACTAGATCTTTGATGACATTAAAAATACTGTTCATTTACTTAGGTGTGATAATGGTGCTGTAGGTTTTTGTTTGTTTTTTAGGAAGAAGCAATAATTCCTAAATGAGATGCTGGCCCTTGTTCTCTGTTCTCAGCAAACCCGCCAGGGTCTGGCCCTCGTCACTCACATCACAGTGCAGCCCCTTCTCAGATGACCTGGTGAGCTCTTCCCTCTGGTCCACTTTGGGCACATCAACCACCAGCTACAGCATCTCCCCCAGGAGCCAGGCATCCCCGATGCTCCTGCATGGAGTGCCCATCCTGCATGCAGTGGTTGGTTGCCTCAAATCAGGGAGTTGACTGATCACTTAATGCCTGTGACCTCCCAACCCAGACTCTGCATCCCAGTGAGCTGTGATCCTCAAGTGGCCCGAATATGGCGAACTCCGGGTACGACCGAAGCCCTCCTCTCTCGCCACCCTACCAAGGGCGTTTCTCTCCAGGTATGTTGCAGGATGAGTACCATTTCAGCATGACTCCCAGAGCTTATAATGCTGATGCTGAGGCCTGAACTACTAATACAATATTGCATTTATTGGTTATATTGTATGTTACTTAACACAGAATGCTTATGGATACATTTTGTAGCTTATGTTCATCATAGGGGATAAAGCCAAAGGAGGTATAACAGGTGAAAGGCTCGCTCCCCAGCATTAAACGGGCTCAAGGATTCTACTCTATGTCCAGAGAGAGCAGCAAAGGCCAGGACATTTGAAGTTCAGGGCATCACGTAGTGCCTTGTCAAGTTCACTGGCCTTCATTCACACACAGGATCACAAAGGGGTTAAATCTGCTGGCTACCTGTTAGTTCTTTTTTTTTTTTTTTTGTTAAGATTCTAAAGAAAAGAATGCTGATATATTTTAAAACTCTTCAAATCAACCCCAAAAGTTGTAGGTTATGAATGTGCAGGTAGCTCAATGGAGGACTCAGCGGCACATGCTCTTTCCTGTGTCCTCTTGAAAGACAAGCAAACTCAGATAGCAGAGAAGTCCACTGTGAGTGGGAAACCTTACAGGCTTGTCTCTTCCAACCAATCACCTAATCTGAAAAGTCAAATTTTAATTTCATGCAGCGTCTGAATAATATTTAAACTAGCCCGGGGTCAAAATGGAACCCACCTAGACCCCAGCACTTTTGAAGCACAATATTATTTCCTTTGGGGGACACACATTAGTACTATGACTTGGTCTGTACGTGGCTGACACACTAGGAAGTTAGCAAGACTTAAATGATCTCATGCGGTGTTTCATTCGAAATTTGTTTACCACATCCAGGCTGAGAGAAAACCATCCTCTCTGCTTGGGAATCAGGTTCCAAATTAGGCACCTGACCTGGACAGTCAGCTCTACCTCTCACACCTTCTACCTGGGATTCCCTTCCTTCTCTTTTTCAAGACATATTCTTTCCCTTCCTTAGACAATGCATTAAAATCTCCTACATCCAAGATTAAATCAAAACAACGTTAAGTTTGACCCCTAACACTCCAGCACTCCTAAGAACTGAACAAAGCTGTATAATTTCTATTAAGTAATACAGGAATTTGTTTTGTATTGTCTTAATACATCGTTTAACAAATGGTTATAAAAACAGGCTTAAGCTGTGCTGCTTATTAAAAAGTCAACAAATTCCACAGACCAAAAAAATTACTATTCAGTAAATTGGAAACAAAATCTACTATTCAATAAGTTGAAAGCAATGCAATAATAGAGTTTAGTTAATTTACAGGAGCAAACTATTAAAAATTCCAGGATGATATTAATAAACCATACGAGCACTACAGTGTCAAGATCAGATGGTTTTATTTTCACAAAAAAACACAATATTTTCTGCCTAGATGAATATCTAAGCTGTTCTCTCCACTATGATAAAATAGCTTAACTTTTCCTTTAATATTGTGACTTTACACCCACTCACCTAAACTCATTTTATGTTTTTCTTGCTGCTTATACAACCCATTTTTCTAGTGGATGAATTTTTTTTTTTTTTCCCGATAGTTCAAGACCATATCAAACTGAAAAGAAGTCTTCTCTTAAAACCAAAATCTTAGAACCATGTTGATTCTTTGCCAAGCTCTATTTTTAAGTTAAGTTAAAAACAATAGTCTGATATTTTTCCAAAAGGTACTTAGAAAGGAAATGTGTCATTTCTTTCAGAGCCTACATAATAAATGTTTTCCAAACTTCCCTACGCTACTGAAATCCTTGTGAAGGGCTCTACCATCAATATTCTTTGGCCTTCTAGTTAGAGAAGCACAGACTCACATAGGTCTACAATATTTTCCATGGAAACACAAAAAAAAGGAATCTGTATGTAAGGCAGTAATGTGTGATTTACACATAACTACGAACTTGTCTACCCATGTTTGATGTGGTAGATGACCCATTTATTTTTGAGATAAGTGAAATGCCGAAGTTGGATCGTAGTTCTATATTTTAATACTTCAAATTGAAACATTTTAAAAATGTACTGCTGTGCAGGGATAAACAAAGGAGTAGCTGAAAACAATAATAAAGTGCTATTTTACAGGTTCTCGTAATTTTTTGCCAGCATTGTAAATTAGAACTAACTCTCTGGCAAGAATTTTGCTTCATATAGTGAGAAACATATTTCCCACCTAATAATAATAATAATAATAATGACAATGACAACAATGATAAATTGATTTCCAGGCTTGGCAAGTTATTCTGAAGAAATTATTTAATAAGAAAAAAAGGAATTACACATTAAACAAAATTCATATGAGTATTATTCAAAGGAATAAAAATTGGGAAAATGTTAAGTGATGAAAGAGGTTAATGACATATAAATTCAATAGCTCATACAGTCATTAAAAATAAGATGAAGACTGTGGAGCTATGGAAAAAGTTTTGAAATGTTAAGTTTTTTTAAAGCATAATATAAAATGATATAACTAAATTCCATAACTATGCTGAGTCAGTCTGGGCAGGGCAGGTATGGAGGCTGATTGGGACAGGTAGGAGAGAAGGTAACCTACCTGAGAGGCAGGCTCCTTTGGCTCCTCGTAGGGGCCCCCAGAAAAAAAGACTTGGAGCTAAGCTGAGAAGGGAAGAAGAGCAGGCTCTCTGTTCCCCACCCAGTAAGCATTTACAACAAGCCAACAATCAAACACCTCCTCATGAGCCAGCGGAAGCCATCCTCCACGAGCTTGTAGCCAGCTAAGCCCCAAACATGTGAAAAAGACCAGCTAAGATCAGCAGGGCTGACACACGTATGCGTGAGCCTGGCTGTAACCAAAAAGACTGTCCAGGTGACCCACAGGCTCATGAATATTTGATAATACTTGCTGTTTTAAGCCACTGAATTTTGAGGTGGTTTGTTACATAGCAATAACTAACTGATACAGTGTCATCTGTTACAAATAGTATACCTTTAAGAATACTTAGGAATCTGAACTTAAAAAATTAAAAATTGCCTTTGGCATTTACTGAATGCCAACGATTTCAAAGTACTTAGCAAACAAATAACTCCACTTAAATATTAATTGAAATGCAAGATCCTCACTTTGCGCAGATGCTAACTTGAAGGCAAAGAAACTGAAGAAATTACTGTAAAAGCATAAATGAATTATTACTCAAACGTTGTTCGAGATTTTTCATCCTGTTTACCAAGGATAATAATTCTGTATGTTCTTTTATTTTACTACAGTAGATAGATGAAAAGCAGACTAAAACTCACAGTTCTTATTTAAAATGCAGTATTTATTCCAGGAAGATTGATCTTTGATCTGCTCAGAGATATGTCTGATGATCAGAATAGGCATAGAGGCTCCTTTTAATTTCCTATAGCCCCTTTGTTGAACTCTCTCAAAGAGCTGATTATAAGGAAGTTAAAAATATACTTTAGGGAATCACCCAATTTATAAAGCCTCATCTACTTAAACTATAATACAGTAGGAGCAAAGAGAGATTCAAAGCAAGTACTTTCTTCTGAAAAGCACTGGTTCTCAAGCCAGGAGGCATCTGTGGGAGTCACGATGTCATTTTTAAATCTATAACTCCATGAGAACTTACATTTGGGTTCAGTTCATGTTCTTGTCCAGTATAATCACCTTGAAAATCATGCCCACACTTGGACGGATAGATTCTAATAGCACCTAAGTGTTTCTGCAAAATCACGAGGCCAAATCCTACCCCTCCGGACATATCAGCATTCTTAAAACCAGAACTCTTTAAAAATGTGTCAAAAAACACACTAATCAACCCCAAACAGCTAAATTAAAGCAATTTAACCATCTTTAAATTATAAACTGACATATAAGGATTATTCAATTAATCAAATAAAAAGAGAATACAGAGTATGGCATACATTACAAATCAAGCCCCAAGGCCAACTTTCTTTTAAACTGTGAGCAAATAGTTTAAGTATGAGGAAATCTAATTTTCCGGTCACTCTTAGGGCCGCTGATACTATTTCATATCTTGGTAAATCTCCAAACATTTCTATTCTCTACAGAAAAGGATATTTTTCCTACTCTGACGCCTCTCC